ATTTGATATAAATGAAATTTTCAGGTTGTAGCAACACGAACATTTTTGTAGCAACATCCGATTTAAGGGGTTTTGATCTGTAGCAACACCCAAATTCGAGCGATTTCGAACTCTTTGGCTTGTAGCAATACGGAATTTTTTGTAGCAATATCCAAATATAGGCGATTTCGAGGTTTTTGATTTGTAGCAATACGAAATTTTGTTGCTACAAACTCTTAAATATTCAAATTCGTGTTGCTACAATTTTTTTTTGTATGTAGCAACATCGAATTTTTTGCAACATCACTACATATTGTTGCTACAAATGCCGCATATAGAAAAAAAAAATTTAAAAAAATTAGTTAGTAGCTACACAAATTTCGAGTTTATTTTTCTGTAGCATCGTGAATTTTGACACACATGTCAAAACAAGGCGTTTCCCAACATTCACCGCACAATTAAAAAAAACAAAAAAAAAAAAATATATGTAACGTCCCTTTCATAAAACCGATAATTTTTTTTTGTTGAAATTTATGACAATGACATTTTTAACACTTTGAGGCAATTGTTGAAATTCACTACGATTTTTTTTTGTTGAAATTTTGAGGCTTTTTGTTGACATCTACCACAATTGAGGCATTTGTTAACATTCACAATTTTTGCTTTGCCAGTTTTCCAGAAAAAAAATTAAATGTGAAAGGATGAGTTTTGCTTGAAAAAGTCAATTTTCCAGAACTTTCGTCTCGATTCCTTGGAGTGATTTTTCACTAGAAAATTTTGAAATTTTCCTATAATGAGCTCCCCATTTTCTTCTTTCTCCTGGAAAAATTTCACAAGTTTTGCTTTATTAGTTTTCCAGGAAAAAATTAAAATGTAAGAGGGTGAATTTCCCATAATTTTGCTTAAATAAGTCAATTTTCCAGAATTTTTTATGGAGTGATTTTTCATTCGAAAATTTTGCTGTAATGAACTCTTTATTTTCTTCTTTTTTCTGGAAAATTTTCATAGTTTTCCTTTTGTTAGTTTCTCAGAAAAAAATTAAAATGTAAGAGGGTGAATTTTGCCTAAAAAAGTCAATTGCCCAGAATTTTTCCTGGAGTGATTTTCCACTGGAAAAGTTTGAATTTTTCGTATAATGAGCTCCTCGCTTTTCTCTTTCTTCTAGAAAAATTTCAAAATTTTCCCTTTGCCAGATTTCTAGAAAAAAATTAAAATTTAATTTTCCTTAATTTTGTTTAAATAAGTCAATATTTGAGATTTCAGTCATTAAAAAAAAACAAAGAACCACCCTTTGCCGTTTGTACATGATATTTAGGAACACCCTGTATAATACGCAGTTAATTAATTTATATATTTGGGACTCCAATGATTTTTTAAGGGCCGGTATTTCAATGTCACCTTAACCCATTAAGGACCGAAATTGGAAATTCTTATTTTATTATTGTTTTTTTTATATTTTTTCATTACCTGGATGATAAAATGACCCAAAATACATTTTTTTTGGATCTAATATACAAGGTGTAAGAAAAAAAACGCCGATACCATATGGTAGAAGATAGTTTAATTGAACATAGTTAAACAAAGGTTTAGTAAAAGTAAACAATACATGTATCAACTCATTTGGTATGATAGGAAGCAAAACAACTAACGCAAAGTCCAACATTACATTTTTGACACATAGTCCTACCAAATGATTTACATTCTTGTCCAGCACAACGCCGTCTTTGGCAGGAAACAACAAAATGGTCCATTCTATCAAACCTTATATCTGGTCGAATGTTCTTGATGATACTTATGCGTCCAGGCATTTTTGGACTTACGCCATACCTAGTTAAATAAACTTTAACTATCTCTCGCCTGAATTCCAGATTAGAAATGTTGAGATTCTTTTTAGACAAAAACCACGCGTTTTGTATGGCAGCATCAACAAGCCAAGTGAAAAGTGGCCAGTACCATTTCTTTCCGCGTATTCCAATTCTATAATTTGCTATTCCTTGGTCCATAAGGTCGGTCCCTCCCATGTTGATGTTGTAAGATGCAATACAATTTGGTCGAGAAATTAGTACATGTTTTTTTTCTTGCTGGCTGTACCTCTTTACAGATGATAATGGAACAACTCCGTCATTTGTAGAGGCAATTGTGACGACTGAATTGTCCATCCACCTAACCAGTAGAATACCATCATTCTTTTCCAGAAAATATTCGATATCCCCACGAGGTTTCTTTTGAAATTGTTTTTTACACGTTAGTGGACATGACCTCGGTATTCGATTCTCTCGAATTGTACCTACTGCACCAAAACCGAGATATTTTAGATAGGAAAGCAAATTTAGACCAGTGAACAAGTTATCTATATGAATAATGTATGGCAGATCTTGTTTATTTAGCTCCTGGAGCATGAGCACCAGAGGAGATGAACATTTTCCAAACAATTTTTCAAAGTCTGCATCACCGCGAGGATCTTTTCCCTGGTATAGGTCAAAATTTACGAGATAACCATCATTTGTGTTAAGGCTCCACATTTTGTAGCCAAAACGAATGGGTTTGCCACGGATGAACTGCTTGCATCCGTGGCGCCCGTAATATTTTACCATTGACTCATCAAATGATAAGTTTTTGACTGGCTGAAAGTGTTTCAAGAATTTTTGTTACAATTTGTCCATTAGGGGTCTTATCTTCCAGGCTTTGTCCATTCCATTTATTTGTGTGTTATCTGCTATATGAATAAATTTTTGAATTTGAAGAAATCTATTTCTCCTCATAGCATTTGCCACCATATTGTTATGGACATCATGGTTCATGTCCCAGTACAATTTTTTGCTAGGCAAATGATTGTACCCAGTCAAAATAAGAATAGCAATAAAACAACGAATTTCCGAATTGGTGATACCAGGGTCAACTTGATTTTTGAACTGGGAATATCGTTGTGTATGGTCAGTTAAATGCTGGAAGATATCGTCATCAAAATATATTTCAAAAAGTTCAACAGCGGACATATCTTTGTATTGCGAATAATCAGCTTCTGGAAAAACTCGACTCGATGGCTCTAAATCACCTTTTATCCAGACAGGGTTGCTTTTATTTGTAAGTCGATTGTTTATCCAGTCCCTGTGGGGTGCCACCTCGGGTGCCACAGAACTGGTTTCTGGTATTGGCTCTAGAGTTCTCTGCCGTGAAGCATCTATAATTGCACTAGGAGTCTCCTAAAATAGTAATAATTTTGCCTCTAAAAGTCAGTACCTACTGACTTTGGATTGTTTTAAAATTTACCTCGCTACTTTCCGAAACTCCAGTGATTCTGTCATTATTTGTTAACTGTATTTCAGCAGCAGCTCGTAACTGGCGTCCTGATAAAAAAATAAATCATGAATCAAGGTAATGTTATTCAAGATATAAGTCACCGGTTAGATTGTAAACCATTCCACCCTCATCATCATCTGCAGAATCTTCATCCGAATCAGCATTGACTTCTGGCGATGTTATAAAAATTTGCTCGACCTGTTCTTGCATTTCTTCATGGTCGTCAAGCATATCCAATGCTTGAGAAAGCGAAAAACCTCGCCTAAAATAACATAGTTAGATAGATATTTATTAAATAAAGAGACGACATAATTATGCACCCAAAGGACCACGGATACCATATGGTATCACCGATCTTTTGGTCATTATAACATCAACAATTGACAACAAAACTTTACCAAAATTATGTAGAATTATTCAATACACCTTTTAACAATAAAATAATATCTATTAGATTCCCTTAAATTTTATCCAAACGACAAAAATATACTTACTCCCATCGAATGTCCATTTTTTTACACAAGTGGGAAATCCAAGTTCAAACCCAAGGTCACAATGATACCAAAAACCGCGATAACTACCCCAACAGCGACTAAAAGTCGATTGTGGGCCTTCGACGACTCAAATGCCACGAGAACGCGCCGATCGGATTCATATGGTGTCAGGAGGGTAAGGATTTTGCTACAGCTGTTTTGCGATACCATACGGTATCCGTGGTCCCTAATGGGTTAAGATATAGAATAAACATAGACATTGACAACATTGTCTGACCTTGTTCGACGACGTCATCCTAAATATAACATAAAAACCGTATATTTTAGGGTGAGTCTTGATTTTAAGGTAATATTGTAATACCGGCCCCGGTTGAAAATTTTTATTCCTTAACAATAATAATTGCGAAAGTGCTCTATGAATTAATCAACGACAAATACTTTTTTCTAAATTATGACGTCATCGATGACGTAAGTAAGTACAAAAAGTGCAAAAAAAATAAATGGAGTGCTAATTTTTGTTTTGCACCCCCAAGCACCCCCCTAGTTGCGCCTATGCTCATAACTGAATTAAAATTTCACAATTTTCAATATATTTTTTTTCATAATCTCAATCAGAAATCAATTCTCTTTAAGATAAAACAAAATTGAATCATTTTTCTCAAATAGTTTTCGAGATATTGAGCTTCAAGCTTGAAATTATGTCTTGAGTTTTGGAAAACCTTTAAAGCCGATTATCTCGAAAACGAAGCCGTAGGGCTGGGTGCCCCAAATAAGCTTTTTTGCAGCCCCAATCGAGATTAACATTTTGACAAAATTTCGTATCGATAGCTTTTCTGGTTGCCGAAAGATCGTTCTTTGAATGTACACTATTCAGTTATGTAAACGCTGCGCCTAATATTTTAGATAAACATCACATATAAACAAACTTTTAGTTTACATAGTACATTTTTACATAAACTTGACATGAAACTAATAATTCCTGCTATTCTTGGAGACAATACAAAAAAATTAACATTTTCTCGAAAACAATACCGGGCCCATGAAAATCCGATTTCCATAATGGCATGCAAATGTGGATACGTGCGCTATCGGGCCACGTGTAGCGCGCATCGAAAAAACGAGGCGCCCCCGTATAATTTTCAGGTCCGGCGCCTCTTTTGGGCGTCGTCGCCTAGGTAACGGCGCTTGGTTTCATCCCAGAGTTTCCAGTCGGACGAGATTTCCGACGTCGATCAGATCGTTGCGCGCCTTCAAGTCGGAAAGCTCTCTCACTCAAAATACGTACTTGTTTCGTGACTTTTTTGTTTTCTAACTAAGAACTTGCTATATTATTATGAAAACTCATCGAGTTATAATTTAACATTCATTGAAAGTATATTATTGTAACTAAATTTAAATCAAAGACAATGCCATCATGTTTTAAGTTTTCACGTTCCATGTGGTCGTCACAACAAGTTGTTGCTTCTCAGATGTTCAAATTTGTTTGAAGGTAAATTCGATGTTTGTATGTTCTATTGAAAAAATTTACAATAAATTTAGCCTACAGAAAAATCTGGATAGTGTTCATTATTGGCATTCATGAAATCTACTCATTCATTAAAATAGTAAATAAATATCCTAGGGACTGCAGGTGCAGCTGATAAAGTTTTCAAATTTCAAAGAGAGTTCCATTCAACAGTAAAATTTGATATTTCAACAATAATTGTAATTTTGTGGCTATGTCAATTGCTAGAAAAGTTATAGCGGTTATTTCCCTCATTTATGAAAAAAATCACTTTAGAGGGGTATCTACAATGTTCATGCAAATTGCCCTAAAATTATCGATAATTTTCGAGGAACTCGTTATACTTATATATAAGTACCTACCTATTATATGATGTCAAAGTCATACCAAAAAAGACACCGAAGAAACATTATCACTAATTTAAGTTCTAGCAATCAAAGACACAGTCTTGGCCAAATATGCATTCATGAAATTTGGGACAATTAATAGCATATTCGTCAGTGATTATTCACCAAAAATTTCTACTACAAATTCCATTTTTTTTTTCGGAACAATGGAATAAACTGAGTAAGGCTATGGTGGGGGTATCTGTTTAGAATCTATCAATCTATGAGAATTGAAAACGAAAATGTATATCTAATCCTCCTCTCAACTTTCAACACAGATCAATACATAATAGTAGCTCAATATAACTATGGCTATGTGATATCCAATAAATGCTCTTCCCGATCCTTAGAAAAACTCAAACTGAAGAATGTATTAGGTATATTTAGTACAAGATTCACTATATTGTGTCTTTCCTCTTTTCGTCACATGAAAATAACGTCGAAGATTGACTTTCAGCGTCATTTTCCAAATTGTTGCAACTTTATTACAAATTAGACGGGATGAATTATTTGTTCTGCCTCATATTTATTTTCACTTTAGACCCATTTCTTCCGATAGTTTTGTCAATTATTGTAACTAGATTTTTCTGACTTTTCTGCACTACACTCTTCAGTGGAAGAAAGCCTCTTTTTAAAGGCTTTCCTACAACTCCTTTCTTTTTTCAGAATTTCATGTTTCTATCTTTTTCTGTGAATTTGTTGTTTTCAAGATCATTGATTGCGTTTTGGAAATCAAATTTTTGATTCCTGCTATTTTTGACTTTTTAAGAGATTTTTTTCTTGTCCATATCTTCATTTTTTATGTGCTTCTTTGTCTCATTACACAGATAGCACGCAGAGGCATCTTAAAGATGTCCACAAATGACATTTGGGTAAGGTGACCATTCGTACTGATTTTACCAGCACAGTACTGGTTTTCAGGGCATAAGTCCTGGTTAGTCATTAAACAAAACCAGTACACGAAAAGTACTGGATTTCCATTAGATCTTAAATTTAAAACATAAAAAACAAAAATAATTCTCCCAGTTAACTACATACAGCGAATTCCATTGAAAGGGTTAGTGCGCAATGAGTGTATTCGTTTTTTTTTCTACCAGCTTGTATAAGAGAGAGATAAAAATACATTTTTTTTTTGCACTAGTAGAGTTGGGTATGAGAGACCAATGGAATTCGCTAATAGTTAAATCGAATATTTTGGAATCTGGAAGAATAGAAAGGCTATTTTGAAGGAATCGAGAAGTTCAATTGGATTACTTTAAACACGAAAAATTAATATTATGAGTGATATTATTATGTTCACATACCTATTTTGTGTTTAATAAACGCAACATTTTCTGACTACTAAAAGTTTTTTAATTACTTACACTTAGGCATACTTACAGGTTGACCGTTGGGTAAACTTTTAATAAAGATTTGTAAAATGTGGGCGTGGCTGGTAAAAACTCATAATTGTCATTGTACTGGTTTCAGGTTGGAAAAAAATGGTCACCTTACATTTGGGACATCTTTTTAACGTCTTCTCACGTCTTCAAGGCGTCTTAAAGACATCTAAAAGACGTAATATGTTAGAAAATCCAACGTCTTTTAGACCTCTGTCTGAAGGCCTCTCCAAGACTTTCATTATTATATTACTTATTTTATCACTTTCAATGTTTGTCTATTCTAGGCGATAGGCTCTCTGAAATAATTCTGAGTTTTTTAAATTGTTCTAAATCCTTTCAAAATGCTGCTGAAAAGTGTTTTGGAACATTCTAGAAGTTTTTCAGTAATTTTTAAATTGTTCTGACAGATTTTTATATATTTTAGAGCCTTACTGAAGCTCTAAAGTGTTTTAAATTTGTTCATAGGAGTTCTTAAAGGTTTCTAGTTCTAAATTGAATCCTATTTGTTCTAAAATAACTCTGAAGCTTCTCAATTGTTCCAAAATGCTCCTGAAAATTCTGATTTGGATTTGAACTGTTTTGGATGCTTCTCAAAGGTCTAAAGCTCTACAGCAATCTAAATTTGCTCTTGAAGGCCTTCTGAAAGGCGTTTTGTAACTTTTAACCTGAATCCTAAGATTCTGGCGCTTTTTAAAATATTTCTGGAGATTTTGGAGCGTCCTGAAATGGGTTTCAAACTTCTGAATTGTTCTAAAATGTTTTTGGAAATTGTAAATCGGTTTTTTAAAGTTTTGGGGCATTCTAAAATGGTTCTGAAGTTTCCAAATTGTTCTGAAGCGTTGGAGAATGCTTTTGGAAATTCTGAATTCAATTTTAAGTGTTTTGAACTTTCCAAATGATTATAGTGTTTTGTGGTATTCTTAATGGTTTCCACTTTTAAATTGATTGAGAAACGTATTTCTGTGAGAGAAATACTGAGATTCTAAAGTCTTCCTGCATCCACAATTTCGCTTGCAGCATTTGCAAGATATGCTCTGTAGTATTGAGTCCGGCGCTGATTTGGACGTGGTTGTAACGGGCACAAGACCACTGTTGGTTTTTTTCCACCCCCCACTCGTTCGGGTCTTTTTGTTGCTCTTCATCGGATATGCTTTGTCCAGATAATCACTGCTGCACCTGAAAGTACACTCTCAGTGAATGTTCTCGTGCAACAGCTTCAATGGCAGGTAGTGCGGCAATGTTGGGTTTGCTTTTAAAGGATGATGATATGTAATGCCTGTATCTCAGATCATTCGAACTAGTCTCCCGGCCTTTTTTTTCCGGTTTCATGAAAGAAACATTTTTTCATAACAATACTACACAGGCCAATTAAAATCACCAAAAGTTCGATGTCTTCCCACAACACTGTCACGTATTCATTTGAAGAAGCCAACTTGAGTACTATTGTAATTATAAAAATATCAGCATCTTCGACTGCTTGCTGTGACTCAATGTTAAGCTTCATTCAACTTCTCCATAAGCATGAATATCAACCAAAATTATCAACGATAAGCAATACGGATTTCGAAAATATAGGTCAACTGGCGAATTACTTACATACGTCACTCACTTATGGCAAAAAGCGATTGAGTTGCGGGGTGAAACAAGAACAATTGCCTTAGATATATCTAAAGCATTCGACAAAGTTTGGCATGAAAATCTGCTCAACAAGCTCAAAGCAATGGGATTATCGCCGAAACTTTGCACTTGGTTTGAAAGTTACCTAAAGGACAGATCCATTTATGTTGCACTGGATGGCCAGGACTCCAACTCTTACCAAATAAATGCTGGTGTGCCACAGGGAGCAATCCTTTCGCCAACTCTTTTTCTGATTTACATAAATGACCTCATAGATAAAACAGTGAATCCACTTTATTGCTTTGCAGACGATGGCAATGTAGTCTCCTCACTCATAGCACCCACAGGTCTTTCCGCACGTGAATTCCATCATCTTAGACTAACTCAAATATCGCAGATAAATAACGACCTGGAGATAATAGAGGACTGGGGTAACAAAAACCTTGTACAGTTCAACGCACAGAAAACCCAAGCAGCTCTGTTTTCAAAAAAGAACAGCACCGGAGAGCCAAACATCATGCTATCTGGAAGTGCTGTCACATTACAGAGTCAGTTGAACATCTTGGGGGTTACTGCAGAGACCAACATGTCTTGGCACAATCACGTGGCAGATATTGCTAAAAGGGCGTCCCAAAAGCTGAGGGTGCTATTTCGTACAAGACATCTGTACACACCAAGCCAATTGCTGACACTCTACAAAGCCCAGATTCGACCAACTATGGAGTACTGCTCACATATATGGAGTGCAGCACCCAAACATACCTTGATGTTTTTGAACACCGTGCAAAAACGAGCTATCAAGCTGATCAATGACCCTGCACTTACTCGTAACTTGGATGGTCTCGAACATCGCTGATCTGTGGGCGATTTATATCTCTTCTACAGGTACTATCACGGAAAATGCTCTGAAGAGTTGGCACGTATGATTCCACCGAGAGTAGCGCCTACCAGGCGAACCCGTCAAACAGACGGTTTTCATGAATTTACTGTCAAACTAGAGGCACCAAGAACCTCATTATATCAGAATTCATATCTCTGGAGAACAGCATCGCTGTGGAATAAACTCCCTGCGACGGTTTTCCCTGCAGGTTACAACCTGAACCGTTTCAAGACCAACATACACCGACATTTCCGCGCACTTGCCGCGCCTCGAGCGTGATAGGACATTTCCTTGCGAGTGCGCATATCCGTAAAAAAAAAAAAGACCAGTTCTTGTTCGTGGAATTTGCAAGAAAACTCTCCTGCGAGACAGTGGACACCATCGATTTAGTAAATGATATTGCCGCAGAATGTTTTCTTTGCGCTCTTCTCTATCGCTCTAGTCGCTTGGTGCTTTCACGAGCTTCGTCGGGATAGCCATCGAAATCGGCCACGGCATTCCATTTGTAATTTGACTTTACATAGGAAACAGCTACTGCAGATTTCTGCATATGTCTGGCAGTGGTGCCATTTGACCCGGTGTAATAAGAACCCTCAGTGGATGACAAATTTTGTATCGGTTAAGTTCGCCAGTTTAGTAGGTACAAAAGCCTTGTACAAACTGGATTTAGTTCCTTTCCTCATTTCATGCACATCGAAAAGTGAGAGAGGGTAGGGGCTA